AATCGTGGGCAGATATGAAGAATGATATGTGTGTACAATTAACATTGTAAAAAAAATAATTTACTTACACACGTAGCGATCATTTTCAGGTTCTTCTTCTTCGAAGTAATTTTTTTGCGTTATATTTCGTCTTTTTCGTCTGGAATTATTTTGAGCTAAAAAAGGTATTTACATGAAAACTCAATTATTTATTTAAATAATTTAAATCTTAGATAATAAAAAGCTATTAGAATAAATTTTCAAATTTATTACGAAAACGATCATCATTTCACAATCGAACATCCCAACGTAGAAGAAAAAAATCATTTGGTACTAAAATAGATAGTTCAATGTTACAAAAATAACCTGCAACAAATCACTACTGGCAAACCAACTTATTGGCCGTCCGACTTTAACAAAATATCTGATGCCGTTGATTTCTGCATCACAAAAGGCATCTATGCCAAAAAATATAAAGCTAAATTATGCTTAGATTTATCATCAGACCACTCACCGTTTATAATAACAATCTTCAAAAAAATCTTAACCAAAGTATATCAACCAACTTTGCATAACACCAAGACAAACTGATCCAAATTTAGAAAAAAACTAGACAGTCTGATCTCACTGAATCTGTCCTTGAAAAATGAACTCCAACTAGAATTAGCTGTAGATAACCTAACAAAAAAGCATACAAACTACTGCATGGTATGTGACTCCCAACTACAAACCATCTCCAAACAGAAATAATGTGTCTCCCACAATTAAACAAAAAATTTCAGAAAAACGTCAATTACGTAAAAATTGGCAACACTAAAGAACGGCAGAAAGTAAGAAAAAACTTAACAAAGCAACAAAGGAATTAAAGGAATTAATCCATGAAGAAGAAAACCATGGAGTTCAAGAATATTTAGAAAATTTAACACCGACTGAAGCTATAGATTACCTACTTTTGAAAGCCACGAAAAAATTCAAACGGCCACAACAGTATAACCTACCAATCAAAGATGAGGCAAACATCTGGGAACGACAACGAAAAAGCTGATATTTTGGCAAGCACCTTCTAAAGTATTCACGCCATACCTTCTACAGTACTATAGAGGAAGAACAAAACTAACCAGATCCCGACAGCACCATTTCAAATGGATCTGCCCCACACGAAATTTACAGTCAACCAAGAAAAACAAACAATAAATGAAGTCAAATCAAAAAAGCCCCTGGATTTGACCTAATCTCTGGCAAGATTCTAAAAGAAGTCTCGGATAAGTGCATAAAACTAATAACCTTTATATTTATTGCAATCCTGTGCCTAAACTACTTCCCTAGTTCATGGAAAGTGGCACAAAAAATCATAATGATCCTTAAACCCAGAAAAAGACCGGAAAATGCATCTTCATACCGACCTATGATTAGCAAAGTATTTAAAAAAAATGTACGTAAAAAGGTTAAAAACGATAATAGACGAACATAAAATAATTCCAGAATATCAATTCGGTTTCCGAGACAAACACGGAACCAGAGAATAAGTGCATAGGCTATTCAACCAAATAAACAAGGATTTTTAACGTCAAAAGATACTGTTCTACTGCGTTCCTTGACATATCGCAGGGTATGGCACATAGGACTACAAATAAAATTAAAGAAGCTCCTACTCTATCCTCACTTCCAGCTTTTAAAATGCTACATAGAAAATAGACGCTTACTAGTGAAGCACGGTACCGAGCACACTAAGATATATCCTATTCACTCAGGCATCCCACAAGGCAGCGTTCTCGGCCCAATTCTATATATTTTATACACAGCGGACATTCCAACATCTAGTACAACTACTATTGCAACGTATGCAGATGACCCTGCTATCCTGGCATCCCACACAGATCCATCAACAGCATCAAGAAATGTTTAATCAAACTTAAATAGAATTCAGCAATGGATGAAAGTATGGCGCATCAAATCTAATGGAACTAAGTTAATACATGTTACATTCACGTTACGTAGAGAAACATGCCCCCCTGTATATATTGATAATTGTCTAATTCTTCAATCCGAGGACGCTAAATATGCGGCTCAGCATGCACTTGGATCGCCATCTAACAAAAAAAAAACATATCTTTAACAAACGAAAACAGCTTGGACTTAAACTGACAAATGTGCATTGTGTCATTGGACGCAATTCAAAACTATCTTTGGAGAACAAAACTTTACTCTACAAGTCCATCCTTAAGCCCATATGGACTTATGGGATTCAGCGTCTCCAATAGAAACATCTTACAAAGATTCCAAAACAAGGTGCTGCGTGCCATAGTCAATGCGCCATACTATGTATCCAACGAGGTGATTCAACACGACATCCCACTAGAATCCCTAATAGAAGCCACGCAAATTTTTAGTGCTAAATACTGTGAACGAGTGCTAGTGCATCCTAATGCGTGTGCTCGACAACTAAATGTGCAGAACGTCTTTTGAGTGTGTAGACTTAAGGTCGATTCAGACACATCAGTCACATCTCGTCAGAGTCCTGGCGCCGAACCGAATAATCCGTCATACAAAATATTATAGTTTAATCGTCTTCCGGGTGTGGACCGTCTCATTTGTGAGTGACCCAAAAGTGGGTTCATCTCGACGTTTCGCTACAATTGTATGCAGCTTCTTCAGGAGAACAAAGAAAAAGAAAAGAAGACAGAAAGATGGGTAGTTAGCAACGGTAACTCAGTTACTCAACGCAACCAGAGGCGAATACTAACTACCAAGATGGGCATTTGAACACAGTAACTCAACTACTTAACGCAGCCAGAGGTGAAAACCAAATGCCAGGACAGGGATTCACGTCCAACAGCTCAGAACACTAACGCGTCGAGAGGCGGGGAGTAAATCCGACGATTACTCCGCTACCGCTCTATTTATAGTCGCGGTGACTTGTCGTGTCGGGACGTATCGGCACACTCCGTGGCGCGAACGTCAAGAAGCGCGCGCTAGCCAATCATGTGGCTGCATTGTGGTAGCGGGACCGGACGGCGGCTCTAGACTGAGATTCCAGATGGGAGACAAGTAGTATCCTTCCTCTCAATTGATATTATTGATGTGGATTTTTTCGGAATCTGGCGAGATGCGTCTGCACACTGCAGAATGGGAGAAAAGACCTGATCGAATGCATCTTTGATGCCCTTGAATCCGAGTTTTGACGGAACGACCAGTTTCGCCAATATACACATGTCCACATGAACAAGGAATAGAATAGACACCACAGGAAGATAGGGGCGGTAATGGGTCCTTAGGAGAGGGTAGATATTGTGAGATTTTCTTGGGTGGTCGAAAAGTAGTCCTGATACCTTCTTTGCGAAGAATTTTGCCAATCCTATCAGTGAGATGAACCCACTTTTGGGTCACTCACAAATGACACGGTCCAAACCCGAAAGACGAATAAACTATAATTCTGACTCTGGCCGTGGAAGCCTACGATTTCATACAAAATATTCTTTAATAGAAATATGGCGCCGGCATTCACATTCATCAGGCGACGAACAGTTTCCCAGCTGTCAGATAATTAATAGTTCTGTGACCAAACAGGACCGGTTCGGCGTCGAGACTGTGACGGGACTGATGTGTCTGAATCGACCTTAAAACGGCAATTGCAGTCCGACTTGTCCAACTGAACATAATAAGTGTATTTAAACTAATAAAATTTTAATTTCTAGAATTGTAAAGAGGTTACTCACTGGAGTAACTCTCTACATGTCTGTATTTTTACCATACCAAATGATTAATGCCCAATGGGCAGATTGTTGTACTCAATGGAGTTAATAAAAAAATTATTTTTGTGAATCTGTTGAATTGAAAGTTCAATTTGAAATCAATACATTATTAAAAATTCACTCTTAGTATAATAAATAACAACCTGTATTGCGGTATATATAAGGGAACCCTTATAAAAATCATCGAGCAAAAAGATAAAAGAGGGAATCTAATCGTTATGAAAAGGAGACCAAAAAAGTGGCCTCTGATGGCGGACATATCCGGAAATGCAAAGGCGCTAAATTTTAATTTTCCAACACTTATTAACAATAGCTATAAAATATTTTTCAGACGAGAAAGTTTTAATTAAATATTAACTATAATAGTCTAAAAAGTGACAAAATTGGTAAAAAACTTCAATATAAATAAAATTTCATGTGACAGTTGGGACAAACAATGACATAACCAAACTAAATTTGACTTCTCAAACAAGGAAAGAGACTGTCTTTCCTTGTTTAAAGTGGCCTCTCAAGATAGCACTTCCTGTAACAATATTTTTGTTCCCACTACCTTTACATTCCCTCTTTTATCTTTTTGCTCGATGATAAAAATGCAGCTTATTTTTAAGAACAATTAAAAAATGTCATCAAATATAGAGTGTCACTTTTTTAAAGCACCCTGTATAATTAAAATTATTTCTATTCTCAAATGTCTTTGGCTTAGTGCATGGCCACTATATCAACTTAACCATAGACATGTAAGACTCAGAAACAATTAATTTTTTAACTAAATAAATTAGACAAGAAACAAATGCTAACTTAAATTCTCCATAGATCTGTTTTCAATAAATCCAAGCATTGAAACGTATGTGTGTATGTGTTTGGGTGAAAGAGCGAGATTGATTACACCTTCATTCGCCTAATCATACTGTGAATTAGTAAATGAGTTAACGAAACTTTTTACATTACATTACAAATGTTTATATATAAATTAAATATCATTTTGATATAATATAGGTAGGTATATATATAGTTTCCCACTACACAGGTTACTTTTTAAATAAAACAAATGGGATATAAAACAAATACTTAAAGCTAAATCGTCTTAAAACTTGTTCATATTGTTGTTGTCAATAATATCAAATTCTAAAATAGAAATGTATTAGGAAGGTACACCTATTATTCATTGCATATTATATTATTCATTAATTTATTGTTTAATCATATTTATAAAAACTGAATATCTAAACTATATATTAATCTTAAAACAAATATTTTATTTTAACTTACTATTGTTATTTTGTTGAACATCCATGGCCAAATTATAATCTTCTCTATTCTTATCTAAGTCAATTCTGCAAGCCTCTATGTTCTCACTTTTATTTAGAAGAATATTTTCCATAGCCAACTATGAAAACTGCTAGTATATACACGTTTAATTAATAGAAACAATATATACCAGATATCAATAACAGATATCAACATTACTATGATCTAAACCACGAAACGAAGCGCCATTTCACTTTTGGTCGATGTTCATTTTTTTCAGTCTACTAATATTGAAATAACGTTTACAATAAAATAGTCAAAATCAGTCAAAAACATGTTTAAACTTTTATGACAACTTCATTTAGTTTATTTTATGTGCGTAAAATGAATTTATTTACTTTAATATTGGTGTACAAAACATTATACATCATAATATATATTAAAATTTAATTTAAATCCTATTTCTTAATATTCGAAACTGATCAATTATAGGACATATATAAATATTATTACATGAAACATCTTTATAAAGTTATATAAATAAATGTTTTAACTAAACTAATTCAATATTGCATCCAGATATTTAAGTATCGCATAGTTACACTTTTTATGAATTCAAATATTAAATGACATTTTAATTTGCTAATAGTGCATCAACTTCCCGCCTTTTTATGAAATCTGGCTACTGTATTTTTCTTTCTATATAATAGATATAAAGTATAAAGGCTGTATAAAATAGGTAATTAAATTTACTTAAAATGATCATAATAATAGGCTTCCTTAGACTGTCATTATAAAAATCATTATTCCGTTAACAAATTAATATATTATTATTATAAAGGTATTTTATAAGAGAACGTTCTGGAGAAAACTGAGAAAATAATATCTGCGGTGGCGACATCTTCTGCGTATTAGGTGTATTGACTGTATTCTTTAACTTGGTGCAATAATTCTAAAACAAAAAGATGATTACTAAAGAGTATTAGCATTATATTATATCGATATCGATGAGTATTTGAGAACTTTTTAAATGAATAATTAATTTTAAAAATGGGGAACATCATTCACAAAACGAAATTACACGAAATATTGACGGTTGCCAATGTTGCCATGTCCTTGTCCTTATAATGTATCTGCAGGTATCTGTATCAAATATACAGAAAAAAAGCTTTCAAAAAGTACATTTTTATTGTAAAATTTTTCGTATTCTACCATTTTTAATCTATATACAACACGACTGAATAAATATCTGTTTCTACATGTGGTTTGGATTTATAATTTTATTTAATAAAACTCTTACATCTGCAACACCGCGCTGTCAATTTGACAAGTTCCGAATGATTTGTCAAGATTTGTATTTGCTTGTGTTTTGATTTTCGTCCTTTTGTAAATTGAGTGGGTTTAATATTTTACAAAAATCTATATTTATTTGATATCACCGTATTATGGAACCAGATAAAATCAAAGTTGAACAAATAGAAGTAAAACAAGAAGTTGGTGAAGACATCTTGAAAGCAGAAATAGATAATTATGAGATGTGTGATACTCTTTCCCATACCGAGTATACCTTCAAAATTGAGATTAATGAGAATGAGGAGCTCAAGAAAGAAATTACGAAGGATGAATTTGAGTATTCAGTTTCAAACGAGACTGGTATAAAGACGGAATTAGAACAAGATGAAGAAAAACAAACAGATGAAAAAAGTAAGTAATTTAAATGATTTTCTTAATCATATCAAGGAATATAGAACGTGCATGGACGTATAAATAAAGAAGAACGTCTATATTCGTTGATCATATTATCTAATAAAAGTATACAAATTATGGTTGTAATAAAGAATATAGAGGGATATTATGATATATGCAGAAATCTCTAATAGAAACATTATCAAAAAATTATGGTTATGGCAGATCTGGGCTGGATGCATTTGTGAGCACTTCAGACACTTGGACTTCCTAAGACAGATCCATTATGTCACCCTTATCCTATGGACTAGGCCTATAGGACCTAGCCTTTGTTGTTTCTAGGCACCCAGGCTGCTCTGATTTTCAGGCTAGATGTGTATTGACTGAAAACTGCATGTTTAATTGCATAGATTGCATATCTTGGGTCTGTTATTATCACAGCTTTTTTTAATGTTTTTCTCTTGAATCCATTTTAGAGCTTTTTTGCTGGCTATAAGTTCAGCTAAAAAGATGCTACTAAAACTCCATAATTTGTAATTATTGTATTGGTGGGTATCTTGCACATACATCCTACCCCTGTTTGATTGTTAGAACCATCTCTGTAAATTACTGTGTAATCCACAAGTCACTCGGTATAGATTTTATTTATTTGTTTATTTATTTAATCTCCTTTAAAACAAAAAATGATTGTTATTACATTAAAAGAGTGCTTACTACAGTTAAAAACTAACAACTGTATTAAAAACTAAACCTAGACAGAGTAAATCAAGTAAAAAACACTATACATCTACATTAAATTTTAAGACAACAACTCTTGCAGACTAGAAAATTTGTTTCTAAAGCAACTTTTATTTGAAGAATAGAAATTCACAGAAGAATTTAAAAAGTCTATATCATAGTTAACACATTGCCTGCTATAGAGGATTTTGTAATACTTAATGTTCACACCCTAGTCACCAAGACAGCATCACAGTTACATTCAAATTCTCTGTCAAATAAATCTCGCTGGAGTGTAGAGCAATTTTTTTCTTGGTCACATAGACCAAGACATTAACGTGCTTCGCAATAAAACTGATGTTTTATTGCGAAGCACGTCCGTAGCGCATAACTTTACCACACAAACTAGTTAGATAGGATAATTTGCGTCTTGTTTATTTCCTCTAGTCAGGTAGGAAATTTTTCAATAGCGATTTTTAGGCTTTCGGCTTAATCATACAAATACGATATTTTAACCAAAGGTGTATCTTTATGCTACATGTTTAAATCTGGAAAAATCTCATTTTTGGCAAAAATGGTAGATAGCAGGTATTACCAGGTCACCCGCGATTTATTATATATATATTTTTTCACTTATATCAAATTATGATTTAATAACGCCACTTTTTTCATTAGGTATAACCTCTCTCTTATCCTTCCGAAATTTGCTAGCCCAATCATGCTATTTTCTTTACTCCTGGTATGTGATACTGGTTTAATCGATAATCACGATTTTAGGTTTTCCCTATGAAGATATACAACCTGATACAAGCAAAGAATTCGGACATCTAGGTGAACTGGAAAGTAGTTTGGACCAATATTCAAGTGCCTCGACAAATGTGAATGCGGAAAAAAACTATTTTACCTGTGAAATTTGCAAAAAACAATTTTCAGCAAACAAATATTTAAAAACACATATGAATGTGCCCACGGCAAAAACAGTTTTCACGTGTGAAATATGCACCAATAACTTTTCCGAAAGATTTCATTTAAAATCATATGGGAAAACTCACCCTATAGAAAAAAAACCTTTATTAACGTGTAAAATTTGTTTTAAAGAATTTATTAGAAAAAGTGATTTAAAAATACATAAAAAAGAACATACTGGTGAAAAATCTTTTGCATGTGCAATTTGCTCTAAAATGTTTTCACAAAAATCCAATGTAAACAAACATATGATAATACACACTGGAGATAAACCTTTTACATGTAAAATTTGCCTCAAATTATTTTCTCAAAAATTCAGTTTAAAAGGCCATATGAGAATACACACTGGAGATAAACCTTTCACGTGTGAAATTTGTTGCAAATCATTTTCGCAAAAATTCAATTTAACGGAACACATGAGAAGACATACTGGAGATAAACCTTTTAAATGTGACATTTGCTCCAAATTGTTTTCTCGGAGATCCAATTTAAAAGAACATATGAGAATACACACTGGGGAAAAACCTTTCACATGTGACATTTGCACCCAAAAGTTTTCACAAAGTTCTAATTTAAAAAGGCACATACAAATACACACTGGTTAAAAAATTGTCTGCTACTATATTTATTATATTTTTTTAACACGTTGATCGCCATAATGATAATATTTTTTGCCTTTTCCCAGGCCAATTTATTTTCTTCGTTTAAAACGCATAAAAATGCTGTACAAAAACAACGCATTTCTTAAATATAGCAAAATTTCTTTCTAAACATGATTTGTAATGGACAGGGGGCGCTGAAGATTTCAAAGGTTGACGATAACTTCGGGAAATAAATCATTTTGTCATTTGATCTCTAAGCTATAAAACGTTTAATATATATCATTTACACATGTGTTTTGCCAAAGTAAAAGTTGGAGTACTTTCTTCAAAGTTTATTTGTTTGTGATTCGAGTTTATACATAGAGTAATTGACTCATAAACCTGAATAAAAATAAAATTAAATGTTTGTTTTTCTACAGTATGTCTGAAACACGGGAAGTAAAATTTACATTATCACATAGTGTGCACATAGTGTGCATTATCATTTAATAATAGCGTATAATAATAGATATCAATCAATTATTTTATATGTAGAAGCACTGAAAACTATTTATAAATGGCAACGGTTGTTTACATTTCTCTGTCTTATGGATCTACGTCAAACTTCAAATGCTGTTCCATGTTTGTTTACATTTTATAGTAAATGAGGAAAAAGTTATTTTTCGATATTTTGGCTGTATTTTGACTGATATTTGTGAAAAGTCAAATAAAATATACGAAATATTTACATCCCGATCTCTCGATTCATTTGTAAGTACCTACAATTTACATTATTTAAGATGAGGAAATGAGGAAGCGTGTTTGTTTACATTTTAATAGGCGTACCATTGGGTTTATTCATGTTCATTCATGTATTGAATAAGATATGAAATTCATGAAATTAGTAGACATTTATAAATTGTAAGTAGACATCATCTGATTAAAAAAGATCTGTTTAGTACCTTTTTAATTTAATATTTCTCATGGATACAAATAAATTAGTGAAATGAATAAAACTCATTTATTTTTCTATGTTTCCAAATAATATTGACGATCGAACTATTTGGGTAGCAAATTAAAGAGAAAACATTTTCATACGATTTTTTTGATTTTTTTTTGACAAAGATTTTTTATTGTAGCATTATTTTGATACCTATTAAAAAATTAACTTGAATTCAACTATATTTATGTAATTGTATTAATTTTAAAGCAAATAAAATTGTATTTTAATTTTTCTATAAAGACTTGATTTGTTAATAGTTAAACTCTCGTTTTTTTTTTTAATTCTTTGAACGTGTTTTTATACATTATTACTACTTCCAATTTTTAAAATCTGAATAATTACCCGCGAGTAAAAATTCAAGCACGCTTATGCTCATTGCGGAAGCATCACATTCTATCGAAGCTTCAAAACATTGTGTGTTAAAAGTATCTTATTGCTGTGTCCATCTATGTTTATATGTCCCTGGGTGTATGTTTAGATGAGTCATGTCCAATTAATTCATCAAAAATACAGCATGGACTTAAGTCATCTTTGTCAGTTTCTTTTTCTTGTACTGGTTGATTTTCAAGATTTATGCAAAACTAAACTTGTGCAAAGACTCGTTTCATCCGTTTTCCATAGTTGAAGAACGAGCTTTTAAAAAGTTTGCAGGGTAGATTCCTGGATATAAACCGCCAACAAGAAAAACTTTGTCAGCAAATTATTAGATCACAAGTTGTTTAAAGAAGTAGAAAATATCTGTATTACTACTGATCTCTAGACATACTGGAGTAACTGAGAGTTACATCGCATTAACAGGACAATATTTAACCGAAAATTTAGAATATAAAACGGTTTTATTAGGCTGCTGCTATTTTTCTGGAAACCATAATTCAGAAAACATAGCTTCTGAAATTAGTGAAATTATTAATCAGTGGGGTCTAAAACGAAAAGTAAATTTTGCAGTAACTGATAATGCCTCAAATATGGTTAAAGCTATTAAAGATGTTTTGGAATGAAAACATTTATATTGTTTTGCTGATACATTAAATTTATTGGTGGAGGATGCACTTAAATGCTGTCGTGTACAAATAGATAAAATAAAAAGTCCTTTTTTCGACAATTCGGCAAAAAACACATTTAAAAAAAAGTACCTTATCTTCAGAAAGGCTTTTAAAGTATCAATTACAACATAACAAAGTTTCCAAACGGCCAATCCAAGACGTGAAAATTAGGTAGAACTTCACCTATTACATGTTTAAAAGAATGACCGAGTTAGAATAGGCAATCCGTTCCACATTGGTATTCGTTAATACAGACTTAGACTTGATCAAATCTAAATAAAGAACACTGGATTATTTGTTCTCAACGGTAATAATGTATTCTTTCATTCTGCGTTTAAATTTTTTAAAAATATTTATTAGTTTTCTCAGAATTCGAAAAAAAATGATTGCATTTAAAAAGCATTGGCCCGAAATTTGGCGCCTACGCTCTTAACGCTAAAAAAACGTCAACAAGTTACAACTACCCACCTCTACTACTCGTTACCCTACTTTGATTCGGTGTTTTGACCAGACAGGCGTTGCCAAATAATTGTCTATGAAGATAATGTGGCGGTATTGTATGCATATGTAACAAGCTTGTTTTGATGTTTTAGATTTTTAATTCGGAAATTGTACTTAAAATACTTTCTTTCTTTCTTTCTTTCTCCCCTTCCTTTTACCCTATCAGGGTGTCGGATTTGGGCTAGCTATTTTAATTTCCATTTACCCACCTCTTCCATTCTTTTCTGTTTGCTGCCATTATTTTCAATTCCTCGAGTGATTTTTGTTTAAATTTTCCCGCCTCTACTACTTGCTGTATCCATTTTTTTCTTGGTCTGCCTCTTTTTCTTTTTCCGATATTTTTTGCTTCATAAACTTTTTTTGTTATTCTATTGGATTGCATCCTCGTCAGATGCCCATACCAGTTCATTTGTCTCTTTGCTATTTTGTTCATTATCGGTTCCTGGTTGGCCATTCTCCTAATAGTCTCGTTGCTTAATCTATCCCATTTTGTCTTTCCAACTATCCTTCTTAGATGTCTCATCTCCATTGCGTTTATCCTGCTCTTATGTTTTTCCAGAATTGTCCAGTTTTCACTTGCATAGAGCACAGTCGGTATCACTATTGTGTTATATATTTTTATTCTTGTTTCTCGTGTAAGTTCTCTTTTTCCCATTATTGGGGCTAACGCATAGTATAACTTGTTTGATTTCTTTGCTCTATTTGTTATTTCCCAGTCTATTTTTCCATCATTAGTTATTATACTTCCCAGGTATTCGTAAGTTGATACTATTTCCAATTCTGAGTTTTTACATTTTATCTTTATTTGATTATCTTCCTGATCTCCATTGCCGCTGATTATCATTATCTTACTTTTTTTCTCGTTTATCTCCATTTTTAGTTCTTCTATTTGTTCTACCCATATATCCATTAGTTTCTGCATTTTATTCTCGGAATCTGCTATTAGTACTATGTCGTCTGCATACATTAAGGACTCTATTGTTACCGGTTGTAATCTGTGGTAACCTATTATTGTCTGTAGTTGATTGGTTCTGATTCTAGTGTTTCTTAACAATTCGTTCATTACTATTATGAATAGCAAAGGGCTGAGACTATCTCCTTGTTTAATACCTCCTCAATTAATGCTTCCGATCTTTCCCCTGTTATTTGTACCCTTCCTTTTACCTCTTTGTAAGTACTTTCTATAATTTTTATCAATGCATTAGGTACATTTATTTTTCTCAAGCATTTCCCTATAATATGTCTTTCTATCGTGTCAAATGCTGCTCTTAGGTCTATGAATGCTAATACTAGTTTTTCGCTCGTATCTATGCTTCTTTCTATTAGGTTTCTAATGATATATATGTTGTCATTTGTCTGTCTTCCCGGTCTAAATGCCGTTTGTTCTTCTCCCAATACCATTTCTACTTCTTGTCTCAGTCTCTTCTCTATTATTTTCGTATATATTTTAAAACATACCGATGACAGACATATTGCTCTATAGTTGTGGCAGTTTACATGTTCTCCTTTTTTGTATATTGGCACGATGATATTCTTCTGCCAGTCTTTAGGTATTGTTTGTTTTTCCCACGCCTCTTTATATATTTTCCATAGCCAGTTTATTCCTTCTTCTCCCATGTATTTTACCATTTCCGGTTCAATTTCATCGTCTCCACCTGCCTTGCCAATTTTTTATATTTGATAATCCTTCTATTACTTAAAATACGAAACAATTAATACATTTTATTTATATAAAACGATTCCGAAGTGGAAATCAAAATGTTATGTTACACTTATTGTAAAGTAAACTTATGGCATATTCCAATAAAAAAACAGTAAGCTGCCATTTAAATCCATTTTGCCCAAATTTGATTATCTTGGAACATTGTTCAAATGCTACAAAGACAACAGGTCAAATAAAACCAATAAGTTTGGCAACGTTGAACTTCCCCTTTTTTATTATTTCCAGGCATGCATGTTTAGCGATATAAAGGGCGGTTCTAATATACCTCTCTCTTTCTAAACAACTGTTTCTCACTCCATCTCACGTAAGGTCCATACCGACCATAAACTTTTTCCTACACTGTATATTCGGGTCCAGGGCCAGGTCAACTAACTTAATTCCAAAAAGCTAGTCTCAGCGTACACACCTTAATTAACCTTCCTGTAAATAAATCATAATATCTTAAGTTTAAACAGTGCAACTAATTATAAAATTGGTATCAATTTAAAGCTAATTTTTATGGTATCTCATGCATTCACATTGTTATTAATACAATTGTGTAATAGTTGGTTAATCTGCAATTAACAGAATATAACTCACGTGTTTTGCCCTTTTTTGTGGTAATTTACAAATCACGAAAAAAGCTGTCCATTATCTGTAGACAACAATTGATAAAGCTCATTAGTGTACAGGACCGGCTTTCAAATTTTAATTTAGAAAATGAATTATTGACATTTGGGTTATTGTATATATTAATATAATATACATGGTGTTTGGCAGCGAATGACCATAACTTAATCTTGGACTCCTGAGATTAAAATAGGCCGATTTAAACTAACTTACTTTAGTACGAACGTTGATAATAAATGAAAATAAAGGGAGTCAAAGGTAAACTTTTATTTTTGAATATTTCGTGACAGGCATGGTATAACAACACGAAATTTGGTAAGCTGGAGATTTTTGGCATGAGAAATATAAATTAGCCACTAAAAATGATGAAGGACGCCACATACGTCTTTCAGTGCTCGTTTAATATGTTCAATTTTTTTATCTCCCACTCGACATACTTTTAGAATCAAAATTCTTATTCTCTTAATATTTTTACTTAGACAAGATATACTACA